TAACACTTGATGCTGCGGTGACAGCGGTCACACTTAGTGGGAGAGTTCCCCTCCATCCACACGTGCTGCATCGCCTGCAGGCCGGGAGAGAGAGCGCTGGAGGTAAGCTTATTTAGCATTTAAAAAGTGATATCATGCTCTTAAATTAGTCAAGATGCAAATATAATTTAAGATGTATGTAACAAACTAAATATTACAAACAAATGCAACTTTGATGATTAAAAGCCAGACCTCCAAAATACTAACTGGACAGAAACAAAACATGAATGGAGCTCAAAAACAGGACATGGAGCTTGTTGTGAGTTTGTTGCACACGATAAACACAGGACTTTCTTCTTGTCAAGCTTTCACAGAAGCAGAAACAAGCTGATACAGTTTGGTGTTGTGGGAACCCAGGCTTCAGGGCTGCAATTACTATTGATCAACCTTAAGATTTGATTTACAATAAATCATCTATCAATGTCAAACAATTTTAGAAAAAATACCAAAAAGTCTTAAAAAGTTACATTTGAAAATGTTGGTTTGAATACAAAGAGAAAAGCATAAAATATTATTGTTTGTTGGATAACTTAAGTCGATACTAAAGGATTTAATATTTCATTTTCTGTTTAGTTTATTGTGATATGCACAACAACTACAGAGAAGCAGTCGTTGGGTCTGCTCCAAAATGCTATTATGTATTAACAGGATGTCATACAAGAACATTCAATTCAATAAAAAGTCAATTGGTTCATTCATTAATAGACTTACATCATAAAAAACGAAACTAAAAAGTGCACTTTGGGGTGCAGACCTCCACCAAGGCCTTATCCCGTATCTCGCAGTTGAATGCAAATGAAAAATAATCGGTGTGTGACTCGTGACTCAGATCCGCTCCAAATGTTAATGGAATCTTCTTTGACCTTTCCACAGAGTTTCATAAAACATTAGGCCTGCTGAAAAAGAAACCTGACTTTTCCTCCAATTAATCATGTGTCCTAGAATAGTGATAAATACATGTTTTTTAAATCAACACTTAAAACTCACTTTTTCTCTCTGGCTTTTGTTTAATTATTTATTTATTCATTTAGTTCATTTATAACATAACATAGGATTTCATAAAGTATTTTTTAAATAGTTTATACATTATTCGAATATAGGAATAGTAGATAGGATTACTTAAAATATAGTACCTTATATTTCATCTTTTATTCTTAAAAACTAACAATGTCCTAGAATAGTGATAAATACATGTTAAAAATGTCACATGGTGAAATGGATAGTTTTGTCTAGAATGTTTGAAAATTATTTGTCATCATTTTAGGGGCATCAAAAGGAAAATGTTTAGTGTTTTTGTATATAATTATTTGAGGATGTAACCCTTGAAAAAAAGAATCTGGCCCACTGACAAACAAACCAACAAACCTTACTGTATATTTGTCTTACTATTAACCGTCTAAAGATGACCCAAAATATTGAAACATTTTGAAATGTTTCAAGAACTGTACTTCTTGAAATGGCTTGTTTTGTCTAAATGATTTCCAAAGAGAAAAGCATTCAATTATAATATGTTTGGGGACATAAAAAGTTAAATGTTTTTGTTTGTTAAATTACATAAATAAGTATTGGAGGATTGACAATTGTTATTTACAGATAAAGAGCTGGCCTGCTGACAAACAAATAAACTGACTGAAAACGTTTCCTCCTTGGCGACAAAAGCAAATTGACACGAGGTTAACGACTGACGCAGGTTCATGTCCCAACTCAGAACTCAAGAAAGCGCTCTATACACGGTAATGACCATGTGACGCATAGGAACTACTTTATAGAGCCTAATCACATCAAAGCTGAAGTACAGAGGATATTGGACAGATCAAAGCCATTGCATAAACAATCCCATGATGCTCTCTGCCTGTTAACAGAGCGCTCAGTGTTCCTGTCTCACTGCCTGCAGCATCAGTGCATGCTATCAGCACTGAGTCATGTGCACAGTTAACCCTTATTGTGTGTGTGTGTGTGTGTGTGTGTGTGTGTGTGTGTGTGTGTGTGTGTGTGTACTCACGTTGGTGTGTCTGCGGGACTTGGCGTAGGTGCTGATGCAGGCAGCGATGTCTTTGGACACACAGCGCTCGTGCACCGTGTACTTGCATACTGTGGGAAAAACAAAGAGACAAGAGTTTGTAAAAGTCTGCATACTTTACTTCATGAACAAGACTCAGAAATGTTTGACAAAGTGCTTATCTTTAACATGAAATGCTACTTTAAACAAACTGACATATGAGTCCTGACAAGTGGTGTAAATCAGAAACAGGTTTATTACCAGGTAGGTTTATAAATGGGAGGGATGAAGCCCTCTTTAATGGTCTCACATGCAGAGCACAGTGACATGTGTTCTCTGCTTTTAACCCATCCTAGCACCAGGAGTCTAGCACTAGGAGCAGTGGGCAGCTAGTGTGCAGCGCCCGGGGAGCAATGGGAGTGTGGGGGGGAAGGGGGGTGTCCGGTGCCTTGCCCAAGGGCACCACGACAGGGCAGGAGGTGAACTGGGACCTCTCCAAGTAGCAGTCCACACTCCATATTTTAGGTCTGATCGGGGACTTGAACCGGTGACCCTACAGCTCCCAGTCCAAGCCCCTACTGACTGAGCCACTGCCGGACTACGAGGAATTTGACTTGACGTCATGGTGGGTACATACAAATAAAACGTGAATTAAAACACAGATAGGGAACGAGAAAACATATTTAAAATAATAAAAAATATAATACAAATATAGTAAAATATAACTATTTACATTGCAATGGAATGGAATGAAAAAAGGAATAAAATATGAAAAAAGAAAAATCGGCAGTAATCAAAAAGACAAGAAAACAGATATAGTGTACATTGTGTGTACATTAATAAGTAAAAGTAGATTAACTCAAGTACAGTACTATTTTGAGGCACTTGCTACTTTGTATTTCTACCCCACTACAGTTCAGAGGTAAAAGGTGTACTTTCACTCCACTACATGTATCTACAGTAATACCGTTAGTTACTTCACAGATCTGGATGAATGATGTGAAATCTAATCAAGTGTTAAATCAGACTTGAGTTCCACCTGGAGTAAATTCACAAGCTACCCTGCAGTATACCAGGGATGCAAACTCATCAGGTATGAAAAAGGTGACAAGGACCCGAGCCCCCCAACCCCACGGAATATCGGCTTTAAAATTAAGAATAACAGAGGATGTTAGCAGTCAGAACAACTAAAGCAGCAGGTAATAATAACAGAAACGCCAAAGCGTCACATCTAATAGAAATATATAAAAGCATTTATTTTAATTGTGTAGCAGTCAGTTTATTATTCTGGCAGCACTGTTGAGCATTTTGAAAATCTATTGTCATGCCTCTGTGCAAGGCTTAGTCTTTCTATCTTTATAGCCACTGGTGTAAAGTAACTAAGTTCATAAACTCAAGTACTATACTTGGGTACAATTTTGAGATACTTGTACTTTATTTAAGTATTTCAATGTTTTGCTACTTTGTACTTCTCCTCCTCTACAGTTCAGAGGTAAATGGTATTTAATCCCTTTAGTTACTTCACAGATGTGGATGAATGATGTGAAATCTAATCAAGTGTTAAATCAGACTTTAGTTCCACCTGGAGTAAATCCACCAGCTACCCTGCAGTATACAAAGTCATTCAAACTAGCTGCACCTTCACCAGCTTTGAGAACACTTTCATGATCAATCATTATAAAACATATCATATAGTATTCTGAAATGGACCAATCTGTACAATGAATACTTTTACTGTCGCTACTTTCACTATATTTTGATGCTAATACTTTTTTACTTTTACTTGAGGAACATTTTTAATGCAGGACTTTTACTGTAACAGAGTATTCCTACACTCTGGTACTTCTATTTTACTCAAGTACAAGATCTGAGTACTTCTACTTTTACTCAAGTACAAGATCTGAGTACTTCTACTTTTACTAAAGTACAAGATCTGAGTACTTCTACTTTTACTGTCGCTACTTTAACTATATTTTGATGATAATACTTTTGTACTTTTATTTGAGGAACATTTTGATTGCAGGATTGTTCCTACACTCTGGAACTTCTACTTTGACTCAAACCTGAGTACTTGTACTTTTACTCAAGTACAAGATCTGAGTAGGCTACTTCTACTCTAGTACAAGATCTGAGTACTTCTACTTTTACTCTAGTACAAGATCTGAGTACTTCTACTTTTACTCTAGTACAAGATCTGAGTACTTCTACTTTTACTCTAGTACAAGATCTGAGTGCTTCTACTTTTACTCAAGAACAAGATCTGAGTACTTCTACTTTTAATCAAGTACAAGATCAGAGTACTTCTACTTTTACTCAAGAACAAGATCTGAGTACTTCTACTTTTAATCAAGTACAAGATCTGAGTACTTCTACTTTTACTCTAGTACAATATCAGAGTACTTCTACTTTTACTCAAGAACAAGATCTGAGTACTTCTACTTTTAATCAAGTACAAGATCTGAGTACTTCTACTTTTACTCTAGTACAAGATCTGAGTACTTCTACTTTTACTCTAGTACAAGATCGGAGTGCTTCTACTTTTACTCAAGTACAAGATCTATACTTATACCACCTCTGTTTATAGCCTATGAAGAAAACTATTAGAAAACGAAGGCTAAAGCTAACGTTAGCAGATAGTGACAATGTATGCTCGTTAGCCAGCTCAACGGTAATATTGCGACAGAAACACTTTTCAGTGCACATCACGCTCTGCGCTCCGACAGGGAGCTCTGCTCTGAACACCTGAACGGCCCGTTCTAACAGCTGTTCACCAGCGGTCCAGTCTGTGCCACAGTGACTCCGAACCACACAGTTAATATTAACGAATGCACCCGTAGGTAATGTAGCTGCTGAAGCTAGACCATCATCGCGGCCGCAGATTACTCCGGGTCCCAAACCCCCCCCGTACCCCAAAAACATTTTTATTGCAGATGAATCACACACACGACCTATTTTGGATTCAAAATGGCGAATTTCATGACAAGTTTGCATCCCTGAGTATACAAAGTCATTCAAACTAGCTGCACCTTTACCAGCTTTGAGAACACTTTCATGATCAATCATTATAAAACATATATATATATTATTCTGAAATGGACAACCCAGTCTCACAAAAAAACGTGTAATAACTACGTTGGTCCACAACGTAGGACGTAGTATTTCTACAAAAACGCCTCTGAAATTGTAGGATCCCTACGTTTTTGTTCACCATTCATTCCAATGGCTGGCGTCCCTAGCAACCACCTTGGTAACAATGAAAACGTTGTATCGACACAATTTCCTGAAGTAATCTTCGTAATAACTAGCAAACTAAAGATCATGTACATCCACTGCACACATAATCTGAAATAACAACTCATATTTCTCGCATCAAATGACATCAAAACGCATTTTAATGGCCAAACTAACTTTAAAATAGGCATTTTACACCGAGAATAAAACGAAGTTCGGCCATGTTTTTTTTTTCTGCAGGGAGAAATGTGAAGATCACGTGACAGACGCCAGCCTTTGGAATGAATGGTGTGAAAAAAACGTAGGGATCTTACAATTTCAGAGGCGTTTTTGTAGAAATACTACGTCCTACGTTGTGGACCAACGTAGTTATTACACGTTTTTTTACGAGACTGGGTTGAAATGGACCAATCTGCACAATGACTACTTTCACTTTTGGTACTTTTAACTATATTATAATGCAAATATTTGTTTGACTTTTTAAAGTAACATTTTGATTGAAGGACTTTTACTTTACCCAGACCATCAATCGCTTCGCTCTGTCCGCCATGCCTGCGGGAGTCTCACAACAATAATAAGAGCGCTGTTGAGAGAGATGGCGAGTGGCATTTACAGTGGCCAATCAGAGGGGTCTCAAACCGGATACATCACACGGGATGAGGGTTCCCAACCAACCAGAATGGTTTAAAGTTAAACTAAGGAAGTAGACGTCACCTAACACATATACCGATAGCAGCACCGTTTGTCCAGCGGCTTAACGGTATACCGATACCGTCCAATCAGGTACCGGTATTGACTTAGTACCGGTTCTCGATACCCATCTCTACTCTGGTACTTCTACTTTTACTTAAGTACAAGACCTGAGTACTTCTTCCACCTCTGCTGCTGACTGACAAAGAGATAATAACAGGGAGGAAGAGGAAAGGACGTCGGGTAAAACAGAGACAAAGAGATGTAGACAGAGAGAGAGACGGAGACTCACAGGAGCAGCAGAGGCCCTGTTTGCGGACCCCCAGCAGCATGGTGTGGCAGTAGTTACAGTACGCCGGTTTGTTGAAGTGCTTCAGACGCCAAACATGCTGGCCGTCTTCCTGTACGTTCTGTGAGGAGAGAATAAAAACACATCTGTCCTTTTAGTGGTTTGAAATGTGATGATTTTGGTTATTGTTCTTCCCCTTGGACTCATAGTAAAGTTCAGAGGATTCTTAAATGAACATCAACTCAAACTAGCATGCACATTATTGGTGCAAAACTAATTTGGGCCGTGTTTGAAATTAGCTCAATAAAATATATATTAAGGAATAACATAAGATGACTGTGAAATGCATCCAAGCATCAAACCAGTTTAATCTATTCTAAGTGCAAAAAGCAGTCAAATTAAGATTTGTTGTGGGGTGATATGTGGTATAAACATTAAGAGCTGTGTAGTTGCATACAGGTATTAACAGTTTAAACAGTAAGAGCAGTTATATGGAATACAACCAAAATAAAGTTATTGTGAAGGCTCCTGCCTTGGCTCTGAACTGTGTTTTAGTTGTAACTATGTTTCCCTTTGTCCCTGAAGGCAACACCAATTCACAGCCCCAGGGTTGCAAACATACCTGGGGAATAAACGCCCCACTAGTGTGTCATCACACACACACACACACACACACACACACACACACACACACACACACACACACACACACACACACACACACACACACACACACACACACACACACACACACACACACACACACACCACACACACACACACACACACACACACACACACACACACACACACACACACACACACACACACACACACACACACACACACACACACACACACACACACACACACACACACACACACACACACACACACACACACACACACACACACACACACACACACACACACACACACACACACACACACACACGTCTGTTATCTAATTTGTTAAATGGAGGAAAAAAACAACATGACTGACAGCAACAAATGTCCTTCAGGTGAAGCAACACCTTGGCTAAAAATACACTAAATTAAAGCCCAGAGTTTTCTTCTGTCGCCAGCTGGCTGAGTAGATTCCACTACAGCTGGCGTAAAGGACTAAGTCCACACACACACACACCATGCATACATCACTTCAGGGGACATTACATTGACTTACATGCATTTCCTGGAGACTTATCCTAACCTTAACCATAACCAACACATGCCTAACCCTAACCAAGTCTTCACCCTAAAATTAATGATTCCCCTCATGGGGACCTCCATGTTGTCCCCATAAGGGAAGCGAGTCCCCACACGTGACTATGTAAACAGATTTAGGTCCCCACAAGTATAGTAATACTAGGCCGGCCACACACACACACACACACACACACACCGTCTCCATGCCCAGCAGCACCAGCAGAGGGATGGTGGTGAGGCCTCCTCTGATCCACTCCTCCAGAGTCACCGTCCCATCTCTGTCGTAGTCAATCTCCTCCATCATCTCCTTCAGTATCTACAGCAACACAGACAAGAATACAAATAATACACTCTTGAACACGAGAACAAAGTACATTTCTTCTAGAGATCAGGCGCAAACTACATTTCCCCCCAGGGGAATAAATAAAGGTTCATGTTCATCTTCAAACAAGCCAGCAGTTTGTCTTTGTAACACTTCATTGAGAAGCTACTTTCGGTTTGTTTCCCCTCCTTTTTTGAACCTAAAATCTGTTTTCTTGGTGTCACTTGAGGCTCAGCTGGTGTAAAGTCTGAGTAAATAAGAACCAAACCTGCATGGAGAGACTGTTTACATTTCTCTTCTTGTTTTAGCTTCAGACTTTAATCTTTGAGAGTGTTTGCTCACCGGTCGCAGCTCAGTTGAATCCCACTCCAGATACTCTGCCACGTGCACCATCTGATTTATGATGCGATCCAGCTCCTACAATCAGAAAGATACAACATAAAAGGACAACGTTACTTTACCTTCTGCCAAAATAATAAACTCAAACATTAATGGCAGGCATAAGACATGCTTCTGGTCAACATTAAAGTTAAGGATTAGTAAGATAAATGAGGTTATTTAAAGTGGACCTATCATGCTATATTTGAATAATATATTGTAGGGCCATACCTATATAAAACATGTCTGTGAAGTTTCTTTTTCAAAATACCAAACAGATCATGCATTTTAGCCATGCCTCATTCCGCTCCATTTGCTCTATTCCAGCCCTGTTTTTGAAAGGGCTGATTCTGTGGCAAATGAGCTGCAGCTGACCACGCCCCCCTGCAAAGGAGGGGGGCGAGGCACGAGCGTCATGTTACCATGCTGTTACCATGCTGTTACCATGCTGTTACCATGCCACGCAACCGCTCATTCCCCTGATAGGTGGAGAGTTGCCCATATAGGCGGAGCTCCCCGTTTCTGACGTCAGAACAATTCAAATATGGATCAGCTCAGTTGCAGCCCCGTTTTTAGAGATTTGGGTATGGAGGAAAAGAGAGGGTTGTGTTTTCTGACACTTGGTGAGTTCCCTGACTCACCGGGGACACATATTCATGTATAAAAGACGTACAAAAGTGCATTTGCATGATAGGTCCCCTTTAAGTTCATAAAAGAGAGGAAAATACACTGAATTATATGAGAAGTGCATAAGTATCATTATATAATATGTCAAAATGACATATTATATAATGACCCTAATAATACAAAATCAGGCAATCGTCTGTCAGAAATAATGCGCTAATCAAAACAGAAGTATTTTAACCTTCATAGAAAGTGTATTTCATAAGCCTTAAAAATGTGTTTTTTAGATATCATAGTAATGGCTCCAAAACATGTGCGTTTATCACACTTTAATAATAATGTTTACATGCAACAGTATTACATTACAAAGTGTATTATTGTTTAATTGTGCGTATCTTTAATAAATATAGCTGTGGTGTATCGTACCATTTCCAGCTCCACCAATAACAGGTAAACAACCTCAAAATCACATTATAACTGTAACTCATTAACCTTATGTGCTAGCTATGCTAATGCCGTTAGTGAGGAGATACTGAAGGTTAGGATACAGTTTGGTTTAAGGGAGTAAAACACACTAGTTCAGATACCCTTTGTAATTATACTGAAGACTATAAGGGACAGGTTTTAAGAATGTGTTTGTCTAGATTCAAGGTGTGTAGCAGTGTCATTGTGGAATGAAACTGTCTCCGTGGTGGTTGTCAAAATGACATCGGGAAAAACAATGGTAAAAAAGTTTCAAGCCACAATTTGTGGCAGATTTTACAATTCTCTGAAAGCACATTTACATTTGGAGGAATATATTTAACCTTTTACACCAATAGATGTATTCAACACTCATAGTTACAAACTGATCCGTGCCTATCAAAACACATTATTCATTAAAAAGTGACAAATTGGCTAGACATTTAAAAAACTACAAAATCAAAAGTGATAAACTAGAATAATATAATGTTCTTCTTCAATTCTGCATAAGTCCTTGATACCTTTTGGTGATAATAAAATAAACTTATTTCCAGCGTCTTTTGAAATAAGATAATACACAGGACAACATTGCAATGTATTTATTGAAACCCAGACAAATCTGAGAAGTTTCTAAGAGTTACTACTGCAAGCCACTTTTTTCCATATCCTAAAATGTGATCACTGCAGCTCATATTAAACGGAGGAGATCTCATGTAAACACTGTCGCTGTGTTCAGGTGTTTATTCTTAGACCTGCAGTGTGCAAAGGGCAAACAGAGAGACCGAGGGGGGAGGAGGGGGGGGGAGACAGAAAGATGAGAGGGTGAGAAACAAAACCAAGAAGAGGAACTCACCGAGCTGTCCAGCACCCCGTTGCCGTCTGTGTCGTACAGCCTGAACATGACTAGAGGGAGAGGAGAGAAGATCTCATGATGACTCGGACAATTACCCGCTAACATTTGTTCCTCTGATCGTCGGGTAGTCGGCCGAGATTAGCTTGAGCCCTGAAAGAGGCCCTATTGTCCCTCTCCTGCAGTGTGTTGTATAGGTTCCTGTGCATGTGGATACATCCAGAGGGAGTTTCTCTCCCACACTGCCTGCAACACCTCCTTTTTTTACTACTTGAATATTGTGTAGTGACATTATTTAACCAATCAGAGCAGGCTGGGCTCTGGTTTCAGACAGAGGGTGAAAAGAGGTGCTGCAGCACAGGCAGTATGAGAAAAGTAAAGAGCTTTTTGAACATTAAAGCATGGAGACATGTCCCAGTAGAGACACTACATACTGATATACACCTGAACATCAGCAGGAGAGAACTCTTTAAAGTAGAGACACTACATACTGATATACACCTGAACATCAGGAGGAGAGGACTCTTTAAAGTAGAGACACTACATACTGATATACACCTGAACATCAGGAGGAGAGGACTCTTTAAAGCAGAGACACTACATACTGATATACACCTGAACATCAGCAGGAGAGAACTCTTTAAAGTAGAGACACTACATACTGATATACACCTGAACATCAGCAGGACAGGACTCTTTAAAGTAGAGACACTACATCCTGATATACACCTGAACATCAGGAGGAGAGGACTCTTTAAAGTAGAGACACTACATACTGATATACACCTGAACATCAGCAGGAGAGGACTCTTTAAAGTAGAGACACTACATACTGATATACACCCTGAACATCAGCAGGAGAGGACTCTTTAAAGTAGAGACACTACATACTGATATACACCTCAACATCAGCAGGAGAGGACTCTTTAAAGTAGAGACACTACATACTGATATACACCTGAACATCAGCAGGACAGGACTCTTTAAAGTAGAGACACTACATCCTGATATACACCTGAACATCAGGAGGAGAGGACTCTTTAAAGTAGAGACACTACATACTGATATACACCTGAACATCAGCAGGAGAGGACTCTTTAAAGTAGAGACACTACATACTGATATACACCTGAACATCAGCAGGAGAGGACTCTTTAAAGTAGAGACACTACATACTGATATACACCTCAACATCAGCAGGAGAGGACTCTTTAAAGTAGAGACACTACATACTGATATACACCTGAACATCAGCAGGAGAGGACTCTTTAAAGTAGAGACACTACATACTGATATACACCTGAACATCAGCAGGAGAGGACTCTTTAAAGTAGAGACACTACATACTGATATACACCTGAACATCAGCAGGAGAGGACTCTTTAAAGTAGAGACACTACATACTGATATACACCTCAACATCAGCAGGAGAGGACTCTTTAAAGTAGAGACACTACATACTGATATACACCTGAACATCAGCAGGAGAGGACTCTTTAAAGTAGAGACACTACATACTGATATACACCTGAACATCAGCAGGAGAGGACTCTTTAAAGTAGAGACTCTACATACTGATATACACCTCAACATCAGCAGGAGAGGACTCTTTAAAGTAGAGACACTACATACTGATATACACCTGAACATCAGCAGGAGAGGACTCTTTAAAGTAGAGACTCTACATACTGATATACACCTCAACATCAGCAGGAGAGGACTCTTTAAAGTAGAGACACTACATACTGATATACACCTGAACATCAGCAGGAGAGGACTCTTTAAAGTAGAAACACTACATACTGATATACACCTGAAAATCAGCAACATGTTTGCCCTTCAGAGAATAGGAGGAAGCTCTTGGCATCAGTTCTTTCATCTTCAGAGATTGATTATGACTGACTCTACATTCATAACATGTTCTATATTTCAATAGAGGGTCTGAGTACTTGCTGTGTGTGATCACAGTATGTAAACCCACTGAGGAGGGACAGAAACGTGAGTCCTGGGTTCAACCTGAGCACATTCACACACATGACATACGACAGCTCCTCCCCCCTCCCTGTCACTCACACTCCAGCTTGTCCTCCGGCGTCCCCCTCTCCAGCAGCGACAGGTAGCAGACGATGTCCTTCAGGAAAACCACCTGGGGCGCCGGCAGGGGGGTTCCTTTCTGGGGCGACGGGCTCCTCCGCAGCGACAGATGCTTCTCAGAGCGACTCCTCTCTGTGGAGGAACAACACGCAGGTATTTTTTTTTTTTAACAACTTGATTTTTCAGTTTATCATAAATACAGTATGTCCAACATTTATGACAAGAAGTTGCAAATATTCAATATATTTGGCAATCTTTATAGACAAGATACTCGTATTGATTTTATTGTAAACAAATATTGTCATTATTCCTTATTGTTGTTGTGTGTTTAAAAGTTACTGATTTGTATTCACTTCATCTTATTTCAAAAGTCAGTTTATATTAGAAATATTTGCATTTTTTCCGATGTTGCTTTTTTTTCCGAGTAACTGAACGTACAATATATATTCTTTAAATTGAAATGGATTGTCTTAATTTACATTATTTAACTTCATATTCTATCGACATGTATATAGACTTTTTATTTTGTATTTTTGTATTTTATTATATACGTTACATTGTTGGAGGAGCTCAGGTTTAGAATAACTGTAGCTATATGACAATAAAACCTTTGAACTGAACTGAATTGCTCTGAGTGTCGCTGAGCTCACCTGGGGAGAGTTTGGGGGAGGCAGGGGACCGGGCAGGACCAGAGTTGGGGGTCAGGGCGTTGCAGCTGGCCTCTGAGGATCTGACCTGGGAGCAGGGGGACCGATGGGGCCCCCCCGGTGTTTGGGCCCCCTTCCCTGAGCGCTGAGAGGAGGAGCGAGAGGAACAGGGGGAGGTGGAGCTCGCTGTGGTCATCACTGCAGAGTGATCGGGGGTGTGACGACCCATCGCTGACAGGATGCTCTTACCATTCATCCCTGACGAAAGAGGAGAAGGGGGGGGAGGAAGGAGAAGAAAAAGGAGGAAGCAGAATAAGTTAAATATACGCTGTCACAAGGACAGATAAAGGAAAACATTCCTGCCCAATGCAATAACTCTGTACAACAAAGCACCTCTGGCCGGAAGAGAACTCTCTGCTCCACAGCTTCTCTTAATAACTGGACTGTACACACTGTACATTCATATTCTATTTAATATTGAATAATCAATTTCTTGCACAATTAAAGTAATATCCTGCATTATATTTGCTACTGGCAATTTGTGTTTCCATATGTATTTTTTTTAACTTTTTAATGCTATTTTATTTATATTTCAGAAATGTTTTGGATTCTTTTATTTCTAGTGTCTTAATTTCTCTTGTTTTTTATGCTGCTGCAACGCAAACATTTCCCAAATTGGGATCAATAAAGTACTATCTATCCATCTATCTATCTATCTATACATTTTATCCAACAGGACTCCTACTGTATATAAGAACAAGTAACAATGATGAGGAAATAATAATAAAAATCCTTTGTTTTAGTGGCTAAATCATCAAAAACACAACATGATAGTGGAACACGGGTCTAGCCCCCTCAGCTATAGTGGGAATAGCCAATGGGAGGCAGGTCACATGACCCAGATATTAACATGGAAGGTGAAGTAATAAATGCAAAATAGCATTAGATAAGATTACACTGAAAAAAAAAAGCGTGTGTTGAATTAAAAAGTATGTAGATTTAAGTGGTTGCAGAAACAAACATCATTTAGGTCCAGATATATTTTTTGAAGTGGAATGTAATTATTATTATTTTTAATTTAATGTCAGGTTTCTTATATTCATAATTTTATCACAAATATTTTTGCGTGATCTAATAGTTCCAACCAAACCCATGTCCAGTACACTCAAAAGAATGAAGTAACAATAAACGGACAAAAGGTTTACATATTTAACAATCTGTAAAAAAAAGAAAATGTGGAAGCCTATTCAGACAAAATGATTTTTTACATTAAAAAACGTTAAGACTAAATCCGCATTGAGACCGAGATCCTATACGGTGTACACTTTGATGGATCGAGAAGCTTCCCTTTAATACGTTTCTGTAAAGGACAATTGGGTTTTGTCAGAATGTTGAACATTACTGTATGAAGAGGGAAGCTCGTTAACAGTAAGGAGCAACACAAAATTAACACTGTAAAACCTTACAATACAACAACAACAACAACAACTGCATAGAGGTACAAGAAACAGATACAACACCGCGTTAAAACCTTACACAAATTCACAAGTCATCCACAGGCAGAACAACAGTCACATCACATCAGAGTCACATCAGCACAACAAGAGCACAGAGGGGAGCAGGAGGAGAATTGCAGTCCGCTTTACGCTGAGGGTCTCTGGGGAAACGGCTACCTGTGATGGGGGCACAGGCCACTTCAGTCTGAATGGAGATGCCTGCGTCAATGGAGCGGGCGTCTGCAGTCAGTCAGTGTTCGCAGGGGGAAAACAGCAGCGGCGAGAACGAGTGGAGAAAGAGTTTGCTTTATGTTCTGCATATATATTTATATATAGCATCTGAGAACAGACGAGCACTGTTTACGGAAACCGCATGGGTTCAAAACAACAAGGCAATTATCAGGGAGACAGGATTATATATATATGTATATACAGTATACACACACACACGAGAATAACAGACCTTTTAGCTATGCATCATAAAAGAGGCCTCTGATGTATGCAGTGGTGGAAAAATACTTAATGAAATGCAGGGTTGCAAGAGAACAATTTATAATGTATTGGTTGAGTTGCAAACATGATGTTAATGAGTTGTGTTGACATAATAATGCTGATCATTATATTGTGAGCAATTTACACTCACATTTCTGCATTAAATAAATGAAGAAAATGTAAATGAATTTGACTCGATAACTTGTTCTCAGGATACTGAAGTAAAAGTAGTAATACCACCGTTTAAAAATACTCTGGTATGCGCTCAAGTCCTACAACATGTTTACTTTAACACAGTTGCAGTAAAACATATATTGTCTTTTAGTGTTGATATATTGATTTAATCACTTAAAAATTGTGCAGCTTATAAAAGAGAAGCTATGTTTTATTATATATACAATGATGTGTGGCTTTTGAAATTTGCTTCATTAATAAAGTTGAATTATGTGTTAATTATAAGTAATCTGAATCTGCAATGTAAAACAAAGCAGTCAAATGGAGGAGTAAAAAGTACATCTGAATTTGAGAAGTATAGTAGAAGTACAAAGTAACAGGAAGTAAATAATGCTTCAGAAAATAAGTACCTTTACTTATACTTCAGTACAGTATAAGAGTACATGGGCTTAGTTACTGTCCACTACTAGGTATGTGTTAGGTCAGGGGTTCCCAAACTTTGCCATGCCAAGGACCCCCATATAGCATTATCCTCTGGCGGGGACCCCCGTTGCAAACATTTTTTTAAATGATGTGTACAAGTGCCTCGCGATGGAGCATGCAGTGTGTTGCCACTACATTTGGGGCCTTCTGCCCAGTGGTGTAGTGGGGATTTTTTTACTGGGGGGACGCTATTTTAATTAGGTCATCCCAAACAATGCCACACACATGCGCATGCGCGCAGTGCACTCACAAAACGGGCTGACAGGTCTACAGAAACTACCGGTATGCTTAGTCCTACTTTAGTTACTGTACTGCAAAAAGCAGACGGCGCTGCGCTCGACACACACAGACAATTTTAATTACTGTGAAATGTATTATGTTTTCGTCATTATTACAACAAATACACACTTGCAACTGATAACACTGGCAATGATTTTATATTTATTAGACTTAAAAAAAAGATCATGCTCCAAATAAGTGGGGGTACGGCGTACCCCCGCGTCCAACGCCCACTACACCACTGCTTCTGCCTGATCAAAGCTGTCACTCCGCTTTTTTTGCCTGTCATAGCCCCTCTGCCCCATCTGAGCACACACCACACAACGAGACCAGTCAAGTCCATTTGAGATGATGTACGCATCTAAAACTTCATGTGGTCCTACCTTCCAGTGCTTTGCAAAATAATATTTCCTCAACAAAGTTGTCTTCTGAAATAAATCTAATGCTGTATGCAAGCAATTCTGCGTCTGCGACATTTGCTACATCCGTGCTCTCGTCCGGCTGCAGAGCGAAATATTCACTAGCTCTCACTTGCTCTAAAAGCTGAGCAGATACTCAGTTTCACTCTCAGTAGCGGCAGCTCGATTCTGATTGGCTTGAAGGGCGGTCGTGTGATTCAATAACAAAAATATTAAAAGATTGGCATCAAAGGACACATAGATTGATAGATATACAGTTATTAATAACAACAACAACAACAACAAAATAAACTTTAAAAAAATAAAAAATCCCTTTTCCCTCAAACTTTGCGTGACCCCCCTGGTGCCCCCTGGCGGCCCCCCGGGGGGTCGGGGCCCCCACTTTGAAAAACACTGTTAGGTAACAGAAAACATTGCATTATATCAAATGAAACATTCTCTACAGATATTCATGCAGCATGGAAACAACATATTGCATTTGTGTCTTCAGTCTGACTTCTGGCCTCCTGGGTCCAATCCTCCTGAGTCCAATCTGACTTTGGGGAGTTCAAACCCAAAAAACAGGATTAGGATCACTTTGATATCCGATCAGATCAGGAAATCAAATCCAAGCTTTAATCTGGATTAACCCGCCTCTGGAACTCTCTCCCACCTGACATCTGCAACACTGACTCTCTCCCCATCTTCAAATCACGTCTCAAAACACATCTCTTCACACTCGCATATCCACCCTGATCATTATCCATCACACATCCTCCGTTTGATTTGTTTGATTGATTTATATACTGCATTGTCTTGTTTATGTCTCTTACGGCCCGTCCACACAGCGGCGTGCGTTGAAGCTTCCAACGCTTCTGCCCATTCACTTTGAATGGGGTGACGTCACTTTTAGCCGAACTGCATCGTGGGAAGTGACGCGGAGCGTTGCTGGCGTGGCTCGCTGCAAAAGTTGAGCAATGTTCAACTTTTGACGCCTCGGCAGAAGCGTCAGCCAATCGAATCATATGCCAGTACAAGCTCTAGCCAATCAAACCGCTGCTTGTGTGTCAGGGGCGGGAGATTCATGTGATTGGTTGTTGGTCGAGTGTCAGACAAGCCCGCCGGCAAGCGTCAACGCACGCCGCTGTGTGGACGGGCCGTTATGCTGGTGTTATGTATTGTGTATCTTGTTTTTTATGTGTCTGTACGGCGACCTTGAGAGCCTTGAAAGGCGCCTATATAAAATAAATGCAGTATTATTATTATTATTAAATCTTCAAAACGGGTAGTTCAAACCGACAACACAGGATTGGTATCAGTTTGTTCCCAAAAAACTGGATTATCCTGATCCCACCAGAGGGGTGGATTTCCAGTGGATTACCAGAGCAAAATATACTGTACCATTTATTTTAAAATATGTTTCAATATAAATAAGATGGCAAAGTTTGTTAACTGAAATAATACACCATTGTTTGCCAGATCAATTTTATTTTTCATTTTTTGCTCACGTTTGTGGTGGCCTATTTTGTCTTCAATCAAATGTTGATGACAAATGTTTATGCTCATAAAATTATCACAACAAAGATTGTCAATCACAAATGTCATTTAGATTAAAGAAAAAATATCTTCAACAAAAAAAAAGTCCATCATCTGTCATCACCTTTCAAAAGTAATTGCAGACAATAGATGTCTGCAATGTGGTCTCTTGTCTTCCTTGTATTATTTTTCATATCCACTAGATGGCAATCGGTAGGATTAAAGCACTGATATTCAGGATCTAGTCATCTTGAAAAGTCTGAATCTGGATCAGGGTGATCCTATCCTGAATTGCTTTGAAATACTGGGACAGAATCTGGCCGAGTTGTCTGATCCTGGATCACAAAAAGTGGGATTTCAAAATCTGATCGGATCTGATTGAGATTAAAAGTTTTTGAACTCCTGGGCCCTGGTGATTAACAAAAGTGTTTATTTCTACAGACATTAAAAACTGAAATCTAAGGATATTAAAGGGTTCATTCAGTACAGAAATGAGATCCATCCACACTGCTTCACTCCATTTCTTTTGAAAGATGTCCACCAGGTGTCAGTGCAGGCTCTATCAGCTGACTCACAATGAGAAATAAACCCAAACACACACTGAAGCAGCCGCAGAATCACTGAACTGTGTCGTGCTTTTTTAAAATAATGACGCTATACTAAGCATGTCTCTAAGCATTTATTTCGGCTTTCTAAGTGGCACTGATCTATTTTTGCCATTGCTAATTCACACACTGCACACACACACTCAAAGCCTTATAACTGCATCTGTTTACCTGCAGGGTCAAAAAAAGGATATCCCTGTCTGACATGGGAATATATATATATATATATATATATATATATATATATGTAAAATAATATACTAAGTTCTCTAGATGTGACTTTATATAAACACTGAGTTGATTACCATGGAAGCAATTAGCAAATTACAGAAAAAGAAATGGCATTACCATTCAAGATTAATTGAATTTGTTTACAAGGTTCCTCGTCATAGCATATTTAACACTGTTTATTTGAAGGCATTCTTTTTATAAATTAATTCAATGGACGTTTAGACTTTTTAAGAATCTGCAGGGAACCCGGTTAAGAGTCTACTGACCTTATATTATATTCTAATAAGCTGCTAAAATAAATAGTCAATGTACTAATTAGTCAGGTGACAGGAAATGAACCAGCAACTATTCAGACGGTAAATAATTTGAGTATTTAAAATATATATATATTCCAAACACTTTGATTACAGCATCAGAGGATCATCTACTTTGAAGGCATGTATGATACCAAAATGATTATATTGAGGAGTGGTGGTTGGCTGGGCTTAGCTTAGCTTAGCTTAGCTTAGCTTAGCTTAGCTTAGCTGGACAATTATAAAGGCAATTTGTACTGACAATATATGTTATCTGAAGCTCTCAAAAATATGTATTGAATATTAATTTGTCATGCCTCAAGAATTCAAACAATCATAAATAAAACTAAATCTCCACAGGGAAACTCTACAGAGCACCTTCCTTTATTAAATCTGAAACCTGAAACCTGAAAGAACACATTTTCGGAGTTTATCAGATCATTCGTAATGCTCACAAACTAGAAAGCCGCCAAAAGCAAAGCAAGGACATCACAAACTAACTGCGACTCTCAGCCAATGATGCTGCACAAAGTCGCTGACATTTGGCCTCGCTGCACTTGTTGCCTCTAACTTTTACAAGCTCTCCACCACAGAAATAGATTCTCAGTTCCTCCGTCCATCTGTCCGCTCAGCTGCTCTCAGAGAGGAGCAGACTTCAGGCCCCGGGGCCACGCAGCGCTCACATGACGGATGGATGGAGGGACACAGTTTGCACCTGCAGCGAGGTGCAAACGACCTCCAGCACCTGAAGACCTCGGCTCTGCTCAGCGTGAAACCCTCAAGCAAACAGTGATGGGTGAATATGCCTGTCTGTGTGTTTATCTGCATGATTTTGGGTTGTTTATTTGTTTTTGCTGCAAAGAAATAGGGTGAATTTTAGACTCTGAGGAGACACATTTTTCAGGGTATCTTTATAGTTTTTAAAAGTTTCTGTAATAGAAAAAACATAGAAAGAGCTGAAGAATTAGAGATTTCCCAGTACCTACATTTTGTGTAAAACTGCGTTGACTTTGTGTTTTTGAAACAACTACGATGGTAATCCACAGACGCTTAAGGGTGTCCCACTTTTTCAGTATTCAACATCATGAGATGTCCTTGGTATGGTGTCTGAGATTTGCTTGTATACAATTTGATCACTTTCCATTACTTAAACAAATGTACCGTAATCATATATTCTGATGGGATGATTTTAAGGGTCAGATTGTGTTCCATTTCCAGACCTTGTTTCAAAAGAGTTGTGGCAGATTTTGTTTGTTTTAAACCGAATATGCACGGATGAAAGGAAAGTAGGGGTACACTGGATCATTGCATTGTTGTATCATTCTCTGAAGGAGGCAAAAAGATGAATGCACTTCGCTAGGTATATATACAAATACAAGCAGCCTACCCAGTAAACTGGTTCCTGCTCGGGAGTGATCGGGGGAGCCTCCTCCGGTCTTGCTCTTGAAGGAGGTGAAGAGGTGCTGACACAGCTCCTCTGGGATGTCGTTCTCCAGGTATGTGGCCATGAAGAGCTGGAAACCCTCATAATCAATGGGCTGCATGGGGAAGCAAAGAGGGTATTCGTTAAGAAAACACTCGAGGACAATTAATGAAGTTTACACCAACCATGGATGGTAACAAGAGAGAGATGAAGGAAGCGATGGACCTCCTTTCGATGATCTGCCCTGAAATGAAGGTATGCAGCCTGGGTTGTGATTGACATGCCGGCATCTTCTTAAAAGTAACAGCTGAATGACTATATGGTTGGAAGCTATTAATGAGATTTTATAGCAGAATTGTTTTAAAGTAGGGCTGGGAGATATAGCAGAAAAAGTCATGAGAATTAAATATTTCTTGATATTGAATTTAAAAAGTACAGTGGTAGATTATGGCCAGGATTTAGGTTTAAAATATTCAAAAATAAAGTGGAAAGGCTACAGCGTTGACATTATGTCAGAGCAGCATTGTATTCTGTTACAGAGACTGAAATTAGCATGCTAACTGATTAGCTTAGCCCTCGTTGTTGCTGACGCTAACTGAATCTCAGTTTATACTGTAAAGTGCAGACAATGGGGCCAGTAGTTTTTTGGCCACTTTGTAGTCAATTTACAAACTATCATAAATGGAGGGTAAAGACTTATTAGTGTCACCAACACATATGGCTAACGTTAGCTATAGGCTAGCGTAAAAAGTGATACTTTCGAAAACAATTTTGTTATTGCACTTACATGACGACTATACCCCAAAATATAACCGTTCGTATCGCCCAGGTCTACTGTAAAGGCAGTGCTTGAATTGGAATGAAAAAGGTGCCAGTACTCTAAAATCAGCAACTTTTTCAAGTCAATTTGATATATACAGCCCACAAACAAGAATTTGGCTACTATAATGCTGGTGGGTTTGTCTCTTTACTACTGTATATTTTAGAAAGGTTCACTGTACTTAACATTTTTTATGATAGGCAGCGGATATGGCTAAAGCTCAGTAAGGTCAATATTAACTGAAACTATAGCAATCAAAGTCTAGATCTTCTGCTGAAGACACATGAAGCAGAGACCTTTCAGGTGAGAGCCCCTCTGGTGGTGTTCAACATTAATGACAAGGAAACAAAGCTCTGGTCAGAAGCATTTTTTATAAAAAGCTTTAACAAAATTAAGTATTTCTGTACATTTTGAATGCAATCTAACTTTCCAACTCAGAAAACGAAAAAACGAAAAAGTGCCAAAAGTCTTCTCACATGGCTGAGCTGCTTTGCAATATACTTCACCACTGAAGAATACAAATATGTATAAAGTAAACTATGATGCAATCTAACTTTCCAACTCAGAAAAATGATAAAGAGCATGAACAAAGAACATGTAAAAACAAATGCAAAATTTGCACAATCTAAAATGAGAAACTGTAACTGCAAGTAACAAAGTCTGAGCCATGGTAAAGAGTTACATTGAACACCAAGCTGATCAGATAACTCCCTGGTTGGTCTGAAGTCCTTCTATCTCCAGGATCTGTACAAATCGGCACATTATGCCAAAAGTCTTCTCACTGGGTGAGCTGCTTTGCAATATACTTCACATTGTTAGAAAAGGCTCCAGAAGGCCTTGGGGACATCAGTATCAGGGGCTGGAGCTGGACAGGCTCTTTCATCAGCACTTCTCCTTCCCTTTGCCAGCCAGGACCTCACATACTGTTCCGGATTGAACTGTCCTAGTGATGGTCCATTACATTTAATGAAAACCAGGCTGGACAGTCGGCTGACAGAGAGAGCATTCCTTTTTGCAGTAAGGATATCGTTCATGCAGCTGAATGCCCGCTCACACTCACTAGTGGAGACAGCGATGGTTCGGACTGCTTTCAGTAGAGGCTCCATGGCAGCAGGTGTACGGGATGCCCTGGTTTCCTTGTATTCGCGAAAGCCCTGAACAGTCTCTCTTCTGTCCACTTTCAGCACTTCGCACAAACGTAGCACCTCTACGTCCCCATACTGTACGTCTAACTCCTCTTCAGGCCAACTTCCAGGATGGATAACTTTCATGTCCTGGATTAGCTGATTGTCCCGGGCCTCCCGGCCATGTAATGGGATTTCTCTTGTGCTGACATGAGAGGAGGTTGTGGAAGTCATTCTGTGTCTCAGATTCTCTACCATACTGCGGAAAAACTGACCTGCATGAATCTGTACAAGCCTGCCATTCTCACGCAGGGCAACACCCTTGAAGGACTTCTCAGCTAGAGCTGTATGAACTGTAGTCATGTGTGGGCCAGGCATGGTGACCATGGATTCAAAAACTCGTATTTCTCGAGTTAAGAGCCTATCTGCTGTAGGCAGTGTCATCTCTCTTTTTTGGAGTTGCCGAGAGAGGTCGCTGAGCTCTGTGAGCGCATCGTACATCAGTCCCAGATTGCTGACAAACGTTGCAGATGTGAGCACATCATCCAGGCCCTTGTACTTTGCTCTGTCTCTGGAATCCCTGCTCGTGTCGTTTGCAGCATTTGTGAAGTGATCATGAAGCACTCGGTAGTTTTCCCAGACTGCTCTGACGCTCCTTTCACTTGAAGCCACCCAGCGGATGGACAAAACACGCCCTATCACCAGGAGACGCTGTCCGACTGCTTGCGCACACTGCGCTAACTGCCTCTGATTTTTGGGGGAGGCATGGAACAAGGAATAGAGTTTGTCAAAAAAGATCTGGAAATGATTGAGCCCTGAGACCTCCTTGACCACATCCCCAACTGCCAGCTCTAGACGATGATTGGAGCAGTGCCACACAAACAGGCTTGGGAATTTACTACACAACTGGGTAGCAACGCCTGTTCTCTTCCCTAGCATGACTGAAGCCCCATCACATGCAAAAGAAACGAAACACTGACCTAAAAAGTCCTCGTTAAAATCTCTTCCAAGACACTCCATTAACATCAGCCGTTGTTCCATCCAACTCGATCAGCTCCCAAAAAAACGTTTCGGGCTCAGCATCAGCTAATGCTGAGCGTAGACACACAACAAGCACCGTTTTACCACTAATAGTGGTAGATTCATCGACCAAAACACAGAGTTTTCTTTGGTTTTCTGTAATGTCTTTTGCCATTTTTTCTTCAGCTCATGAGCTATGTGGTCGATGATTTCGCCACAGGTTTTATTGGAGTGCAAAACCCTGCCCACGTTCAGCCCATTCAGTTTCTGTACATTCAAATCAATTGGCATGTCTGTGAATGGCCGGCTATGTTTGCCAATTTTATATGCCGTTCGAAAAACTCTGATAGTGGTGTCTAATTCAGATTTATGCATAGACTGCACTTGATGTTGAATAGTTTCACGTGAAGCAGATGTAAGGATGTCAGCAGCTTTTACATGGGCTTGTGATTCTTTATGTTCTTTGATTTTTTTTCTCAGGCTATCTTGTTGTTTGCCCTTGTCAACACCGAAATGAGACACTGCACACTCACCCCATTCAGTTGACAGTTTCAGTCCTTGTCCAGTGTGTATTCCCAAAGATTTGACATCTCTGCATATCCGACATCCTAGCTTCTTATCTTTAAGAAGGAGCCATGCATTGGTCTTGCAAAAATATTGCACCTGGTCCGTTGTCCAGCAGTCAGGTGCATCGCTTTGCCCGGTGTTGGTGGTGGCAGTTGCGCCAGCAGCAGCTAACGTTAGAGGCTCTGGAGGAGGCGGCGGAGCTAGTGCTAATGCTAATGCACTAGAACTTGGAGCAGGAGGATCAACCAAAGAAAGCTCCCCATCAGACACAATTTCCAACACAGGCACAGCATTCTCTGTATTTGAAGTTTCTTCCGGCGACAACCGCTGTCTTTTTGCACTTTTATTAATCCACGCTAACATTTTAGAAATGCTAATTTGTGACGTGACTTGCTTTCCTTCTCTCGGGGGCGTGCCTGCTCTGTTCTATCACTCTACATAGCCACCCACTGGGTGGGAGTTGCACTGCATAAACACAACACACGTGCATCTAGGTATGTAAATTGTAAAGCATTAAAACATGGTTTTACTAACAGTTTTCAGTATGTTGTTACTTCGGCATTATTATTATTATTATTATTATTTTGAAACGTGTATTACTATTAAATCACGGTCAAATAGGTTAATTTTGACATAGTCGTTTCCACCACAGTATTTACATGGAGAAGATAAGCCCCGCCCCCTCTCCAGCACGTTCTGTTTGAATGACAGGAGTAAACAGCTGACAGCCGCTGTGAAACTCGGTTAGAGCGATGAGAATGTCGGTTCGGCACCTCATGACGCATCTACTGAGTACCGGGCGGCTGTATATATATATATGGATGTATAATAAGAACGGCGGGAGAGTGTTGAGTACTGGCACGGTGCATGAGTACCGGAGTACCGCCAGCATGCCGGTACTGAGCAAGAAGTGCCGGTACTCCATGGGTCAGAACCAGAAGTGCCGGTACTGCGTACCGGTGAGTACCGGCCCAATTCCAGCACTGTGTAAAGGTGTTACTATCCACCACAGATTATTGTCGTAATGGTTAGCAACAGCAGACTGGAGGTGATGGAAGCTGCGTCCAGATACAACCTTATATGACAAGCAACATGTCATATTCACACTGATTATCCTTCCTCCTGCCACACCCACCCACCACCATCTTCCACTGCCATGTGGCGGGGGCATAGCGGCACTCATCTCAACCCAACGCCCCCCGTGACCTCTGCCCCTCTGACGGGGGACCGACCATCTGCAGCGGCGTTGTGTTCGTGGACAGAATGTGCATGCAGTCTGATGACACAGACACCACACAGCATGCAGAGCCCGCCGGCCGAGGCTTACTTGGTTCAGAACGTCTTGCTTCTGTTTAACAGTTTGGACAATGACGAAGAGGAGGAGTGAGGAAGGAGTGAGGGAGGGGGAAGAAGAGAAGGTTAGCTGCCGTGTGGAGGGGGGTGGTCAGGGTGCAAAGTGGTGAAAGTAGATATCTTGTAATCAAAGTAGGATTTCTAAATTGTAAAAAATACTGTGCTACAAGTAAAAGTCATGCATCCCTTGAAATGTTTAAAAGCAAATAAAAACGTTTTAATATGGCTTTTAATTTCAGTTACCTGTCAATTCTCACTCGTATCATCGTCCATGTTTTACTGTATTTTTTCAGTTTTGCTTTTATTTTACATTTTGAATCTTAACCTATTTTAATATCTTGTCAGCTTTAATTCAAGGGGATTTCATTAGGATCACTATAGATGTTTTAGCTTGTTCTGTATTTATTGTAGTTATGTTTTCTTCTTGTTCTGTAAAGCACTTTGGGCTGCTTTGTGCATGAAAGGTGCTATACAAATAACGTTTATTATTATTATTCAAAATATATTTAAAGTACCAAAAATCAAAGTAATCTTCATGCGTAATAGTCAATTTCAGATTCTCTGGGTGCAGGCGGTTAATAATCTAGTTGATTAATCTGCTTAATAGTTCAGCTCGAGATCAAATCGGTGCCATTCATGTTTGCCAAATCCATTCCAGTATGTGGTCAAGAATATCTTTCAGATCTGCAAGTAATTAGACCAATAATGAGGGTTTAATGTGACCAAAGTAAACCATTTTCCTCCCAGGAAAAATGTGGTTCACACCAAAATAGAACAAAGTGAAGTTTATTCGCCTAACAAAGCTCAGCTCCACATCAAATCGGAGCTATCAGTGTTTATCAAGCTCAGTCCAAGTATGTGGTCAATAATTCCTCTCCGCTTTAAAACAGATCTGCAAATAAATGCAAGTAAGCTAAGAAAACATAATGAGGTTTTAATACGAGCAAAGTACACCATTTTCCTCTCAGGGTAAATTTAGTTCACACCTTAATAGGAAATGACTTTTGCACGTCTAGACTTCGTGGAAATATGCTCCTAACGCTGTAACTTGATCACAGAGGAACACACGGAAGACTTCTGATCTGCCATGTTGACCCAACTCTGATCCAGGCATCTTCACATCTCTTCTCCTTATTTGGCCAAACAAACCACGAGGATTTAATTATGTGTGCATAACAGCAGGTTCCGATAAGTACGCTCACATGCCATAGAAAACACACAGTCTCTTTACTCCAGTTATACTCCAAATGACATCATAAAACATTGATGAATTAGCGTTGAATGAAAGTGTACACAGATGCTTTTGTGGAAATGTTCGTCCCTCTGGAAAACACCTTTAGCCCGGAGTCTTATTTACTTCCACATGATGTTCCCTGTGGGCGGCTGCCTGTCTGTAATCATCTCCCGAGGGCCGCTGTGACACGGTTCATTTAATCTTGTTTTAGGCCTGCGAGGAGGGTTTGATTGACTTTCTTGTTTGCATGAAAGAGAGAAGGGACTACAGGGGCTGCTGTCCTGCTGAGGAGACAGATCGGCATCTACTGTACTATGTACAATCACGTGAGTTTCTAGAAATTTGGTTTTGATTCTGTCTTTTTCTTTAGGCAAGGCAAGTTTATTTATATAGCACCTTTCAACACAAGGCAATTCAAAGTGCTTTACAAAAAACGAAAGACATTAAGAAAATGGCATTTAAAATCAGTCATTAAAAAGAAAAGATAATAAAATAAACATTAAAAGAAAACTTTTACAGTATACTATGATTTGGTACCTTCTTTTGGACGAAATTAAAATGAAATAGTATGTTTAAATTTTGAATGTGAGGTGTGTAAACCATCCCTCACTTGGTACAATTATATTTAAGAAAGTAAAATGTGTGATAAATTGAATCTATTTTGTCTGAGAGGAGAGACATGAAGGTTCAAAACGTAGCTTGGGGCTCTTTATTTTATACGTTTTAGGATTTTAATATAATAAATGAAACATTAAACAAAATCACACGTAGACACTGTTCATAACATTGTATAGTTAATCAGATATATTGTAGTGTCCTCCTGCAACAAACGGGTCAGAAAAAGGCTCATCAAATTAAAAACTTGGAGAAAATAAAAAGAGGGTCTTTATATTTAGTAATGGTGTACTGCTTGTTTTCCTAGATACTGTTTTTATCTGCATTTGAGTTATTTTTAAAAGCAAAGACAGATGAATTCCCTTTTTTGACAACTTCAACAGGTTACAATAACAAACACTTTTTAGCTGCTTGCTTTCAAATAAAATAAATTGTTATTTATAAAGCACATTTAAAAGCGATTTTTGGTCGAGCCAAAGTGTTGTACATGTAATAAAAACACATTACTATCATCACAATAAAAGACAATAATTGACAACAGAAATATAAAAATCACACACAGGGAAATGTCAGGAGTCGTGCTCCGCTCTGACTACAAGGCCAGAGAGAAGAAGTGAGTCTTTAGTGTAGATTTAAAAACCCCTAGTGTCTGGGCCGACCTCACATGGAGGGGCAGAGTGTTCCAGAGCCTGGGGCCAGCTGCTGCGAAGGCTCGGTGCCCTCTGGTTTTGAGCCTGGTCTTGGGCTCTATCAGCAGCAGCTGGTCAGCAGACCTTAAAGCTCTGGCTGGGGTGTAGCGATGAAGGAGAGCTGCTATAAGCCGGAGCCAGCCCATTTAGGGCTTTAAAAACAAATAAAAGGAGTTTAAAACCAATTCGGAATTCAAGTTTCTCTTTCTGTAATTTGTTTTGTTTGAATGTTGTTGGTCATTTTTGCACTAAATATGACCTTTATGACACATCAACAAATCATAGTTCACATTCAAACACAAAGAAACCTTTTAAAAGCATTGGCAGTTTTTTTCTTTGTGTGACAATCATGTAGGACGTGTTTATGTTACATAATTAAGTGTGCTGCTAAACCAGTTAAGTTATATAAATGCATGATGTCTGTTGGAGCCTTTAAAGAAAACCCCTGTGGGTGTAATGCGTCTCTCAGTCACTTATCAATCAGGGAAGATGATGTCTGTTTTCTAATTTGTTAAATGGAGACATGACTGACGGCAACAAATGTCCTTCAGGTGAAGCAGAGCAACACCTTGGCTAAAAATACACTAAATTAAAGCCCAAAGAGAGGTCAGAGTTTTCTTCTGTCGCCAGCTGGCTGAGTAGATTCCACTACAGCTGGCGTAAAGGACTGAGTCATTAGACACACACACACACACACACACACACACACACGGACGGATGGCAGAGGCCCACAGTGGCGCCAGGTGATGGTTTGGTCCATACATGAACATTAAATCTGATTTATATGGCGCCCAAAGTCCAGCCGGGCTGTTAGTCATGATAAAAAAAACAGAGGAAGCTTACAGCAGAGTGGAGGTGATAATAAAGAGGGAGAGGAATAAAGAAATGGGAAAAATACCAAAGGTTCATGTTGGCATGGAAGAAGATGGAGGTAACTATCTTTAAAGAGGCCCTATTGTTTTCTCTTTCCTGTAGTGTTTTATATAGGTTGTTGTGCATGTAAATGGTCTGCAGAGGCTAAAATCCCTTCCCCTCTCCCTGACACGCCTCCTTTGGACTCCTTTGTTTACTTCTGGAACATAATGACATCACTTTGTAATACTTGTGCTCAGGGGCGGTTCTAGGGGGGGTGCAGGGGGGGGCAGTGCCCCCGTAACGCTGACTGTGGCCCCCCTGAAAATGAAAAGTTTATGATTAAACGATTTCTTGGCTCACGGAATAGGCGGAACTAACGTTATTCTAGTCGGACCCATTGGAGCGTAAAAACTGAAATAAAAATGTGTACCAATAACTGTATTACGTTGTTTTCTTATGCGCAATTACTTCATACTGTCTTTGTCTTTTTCGTCCTGCATTTATTGTGCCCCTCAGAAAATAACTGGCCCCCCCAGTCAAATTGATGTAGAACCGCCACTGCTTGTGCTTCTATTGGCTATCACTCCAACTCATAGTACAGGATAGGCTAAGGGGCGGGACATCTGTAAGCGGTTGATCAATCACAACATCGTTTTGTGTATTATTTATTATCTACAGTATGGCATTCGACATGTCTCCAGTTCTGAGAAAGGAGTAACAGCAAAGAAGCTTGTGATGAACAGCTGTGGAAGGGAAAGGCAACATTATTTATTTGACTTCTAAAAAAAATAGTCAATATCAGTTTAAGTGCATACTATATTTATATTTAGGGACTAAAGCCTTTATCTATGCTCTCTGCAAAGCCATTAGTCAATAGATTTTCTTCACACTGACGTTCGTAAAAATCTTTGTAGCTGTCTGACAAACATTCATTTACACCATAAGATGAGAGACAAAACAAAGAAAAAAGTGAGTAAGTTAAGTTAATACATCTTCATACAACATGTATTTCAGACAGGCTCAAATTGTGACACGTAATCAAAGCAAATGAAAATATGTTAACTTGTATTTTGTTTGCTGCACAGCAAGTAAAGCAAAACATGTATCGAGAAAGATAAGTGTGTAATGTGAACAGAGATGACAGTAAAAACGGAATAAAGTCTATTAGTAACATCGTCACAAGTCCAGACCACTGTATTAAAGGTCCCATGCAGAGGTCGCGTTAACCGAATATTTTCCGTCAATGACGAATTTTTTCTAACAATGACGGACAAATCTGAAAGCAGTCCGTCATTTTGACAGATTAGAACACAACTCCGAACAGCGCCAACATGTCCACCAGCAGCCCACATTATATTACATCCTTAGTGGCCAGGTAGACTGAGGGCGATCTACTCTACTGTAGTCTGTAACTATTATTTAGTCATTCACACCTCTGTCCAGTTGGTGGCGAGTGTGTGTATATTAAGTAGCTATTGTCTAGTCTTGTTTTTGACCTCGTTGATTACCTCGTTGTTAAACCGGCTTTAGCAATCGCAAAATGTCACGGCAGCTGATCGTCCGAAGCTTTTTTAATAAGCCCAGTAATTGTGATGGTGTGGATAAACGAGGTGAAAAGAGGGATTGATGCGGTGGAGGATGAAGGACAAGCCAGTAAGACTAAAACTGACAACGTTCAGCCAGCGGCAGAGGGGCAAGCAAGTGGCAAGGAGTTCAAGCGGGAGTACCGGGTTCAGTGGGAGCAAGAGTTTAAGTGCTGAGGAGGGAAGATGGCAAAATGTTCTGCGAGATCTGTAGAAAAGCTAAGATGAGTAACGGATTTGTCCGAGGGTGCACGACGATGCAGAAATCAGTGTTCAGGCTACAGCATATCAATTGAGTTGTTCTTGTAATTGTTTTGTCCATATTCTGATTGTAATTGTCTCATTTAAAACGATGGCATTGTTCATATTTGCCTGTTTAGGCACAATGGTCGTGGTGTTTTTAGCGGCCTCTGCCCCCCTCTGCTGTGCTGTCTGTCAGTGCAGGAACAAATAAATCATTCATGTTCGTGTTGACATGAAAAATGACCACACGGTCGGTGTCTCTGTTCATCTTTTTTTTTCTCCATGCCCTTAAAAGTTCTGTATGAATCATTAAAAAAATGAATGAATTTACATTTGCTGCTCAGTACCCAAACATAAATATTAAATACGTCTCATCTCATCATTAAAACTCTTAAAAAACTTTTATCAAATAAAATGACGGGTAATAATGGATTATGACGGAAATGTTACGATCCTGTCTGTCAAAATGACGGACAAAGAAAAAGTCTAACGCAACCACTGGTCCCATGTCATGCTTTTCCAGTTATTACCCGTCCCCTTGTGTGTTATGAAGGTGTTTATGCATGTAAACGGTCTGCAGAGTCACAAACCCTCAAAGTGCACCCTGTAGCGAGTACAACTCTAACACACCTGAGATGGCGGGGCGGGGCGGGGCAGGACGCGGCGAGGCTGTGAGTCTGTGTGACCACACACACAAACTCCCAGCCAGGCTGCGGGTGTGTGTGCGTGCTCGGGCTGGTTTCGTGCTGGGTTTCGCTGTCTCATAGGGAGGGGGGGGGGGGGGGGGGTTGGAGTTCCAACAAGCCGTTTAGGACAGAGAGTGAATACACATACTATACAGAGATGCTGTATGAGAAACCAATGTGAGTTTGGAAAATTGCAAAATATAAATCTATCTTAGTAGACCTCAACAATGGACTTATGATCAGTAGAAATGGCCATGACATAGGATCTTTAAAACATAAATTCAGTCTATAGTCAGGGGCCCTTTTCTAAAAATGGGACAAAAGGATTGAGCTTTCTGCTGAGATTACTCTGAATCAGAGAAACCAAAGAAGCACCTGATGGCGTCCCACCATGTGTTTGTGTGTGCAGAATATCAAGTGAAAATAAAGTGGATGCAGGATAATGGAGAAGGTTATAAACACACCTGCTCTGGATTGTATTTGGACAGAACTCCTTCCCCGTGAAACTCCTCCAGCATATCCTTCAGCTTCTTAGTGGAGTCTGAGGAGGAGAACAAGCAGAATTGTGTCATTACATTTTGTGCATTTTCTTTAATACACTTCTGAAAACCATGCGACTACCCAGCAGAGCATTTTCCAGAAAATAAACTGTCTTTATAATCATATCTCTTAGAGGAAATGCTCCTTTGGATAAAACACTTTTCTCAAAACTGAATTAATATGCAGCATTTCATTAGAAAATGTCCTGATAAATATTCATCTGCACCAGAAACTGCAGCATCAGAGGGGCTGAGTCACCCGGTGGTGGAAAGTAAAAGGGGACATGGCGTCACACACACACACACACACACACACACAGGGGACATCACTTCAGGGGACATTACATTGACTTACATGCATTTCCTGGAGACTTATCCTAACCTTAACCATCACATGCCTAAGCCTTAATGATTCCCCTCATGGGGACCTCCATTTTGTCCCCACAAGTATAGTAATGCTAGGCCACACACACACACACACACACACACACACACACACACACACACACACACACACACACACACACACACACACACACACACACACACACACACACACACACACACACACACACACCACACACACACTACACACACACACACACACACACACACACACACACACACACACACACACACACACACACACACACACACACAACACACACACACCACACACACACACACACACACCACACACACACACACACACACACACACACACACACACACACACACACACACACACACACACACACACCTCCTCCTCCTCCTCCTCCTCCTCCTACGATCATCTGTTGAACAGTTTCTGGGGACAAATGTCTCCGTATGCATGCACAGACCCCCACTGCTCCAACATTATGCACACGCTCACCAATCATATAAGCTCTCATAATCAACTACTGACAACACTTCATTATTTCTAGTGCTCGGCAGATTTGCAGCCGGTAATGCTTCCCTATTTCTGTCGTTCATTAGATATGCAGTGAGACATAGGGGAGGACAGGTAAGATGAGAGACATGTGATCAGAGAGCACAAGCTGCTGCCAGAGGGGTTATTGATCTGGAGCAAGAAGAGCATGAACCTCAATGCATTCAATTGGGCCCTATTGTGCTTCTTAGAGTTTTCTTTCCTGTAGTGTGTTAGGTTTTTGTGCATGTGAATGGTCTACAAAGAGTAACATTCTGAACATATAGATCACTATGTTACACTTGCGCTTCTATTGGCTAGCTCTCTAACGGCCCCTACACACGGCGGCGTGCGTTGAAGCTTCAACACTTCTGCCCATTCACTTTGAATGCGGTGACGTCACGCTATGCTGAACTGCTTTGCTCGCGTTGCGCGCTTCAAAAGTAGAGCAATGTTCTACTTTTTGAAGCTTCGACGGAAGCGTCAGCCAATCGAATCATATGCCAGTACAAGCTCTAGCCAATCAAACCGCGTGCTTGTGTGTCCGGGGCGGGAGATTCATGTGATTGGTTGTTGGTCGAGCTTCAGACACGCCCACCGGCAAGCTTCAACACACGCCGCGTGTGTAGGGGCCGTAACACATTGTAAATGATAGACTAAGGGGCGGGACATCTCTTGGTGGTTGACCAATCACAACAGAGCTGGCCAGCTAACCAATCAGAGCAGACTGGGCTCTGGTTTCAGACAGAGGGTGAAAAGAGGTGCTGCAGCTCAGGCAGTATGAGAAAAATAAAGAGCTTTTTGAACATTAAAGCATGGAGACATGTAGAGACACTACATACTGATATACACCTGAACATCAGCAGGAGAGGACTCTTTAAAGTAGAGACACTACATACTGATATACACCTGAACATCAGCAGGAGAGGACTCTTTAAAGTAGAGACACTACATACTGATATACACCTGAACATCAGCAGGAGAGGACTCTTTAAACTAGAGACACTACATACTGATATACACCTGAACATCAGCAGGAGAGGACTCTTTAAAGTAGAGACACTACATACTGATATACACCTGAACATCAGCAGGAGAGGACTCTTTAAAGTAGAGACACTACAAACTGATATACACCTGAACATCAGCAGGAGAGGACTCTTTAAAGTAGAGACACTACATACTGATATACACCTGAACATCAGCAGGAGAGGACTCTTTAAAGTAGAGACACTACATACTGATATACACCTGAACATCAGCAGGAGAGGACTTTTAAAGTAGAGACACTACATACTGATATACAACCTGAACATCAGCAGGAGAGGACTCTTTAAAGTAGAGACACTACATACTGATATACACCTGAACATCAGCAGGAGAGGACTCTTCAAAGTAGAGACACTACAGACTGATATACACCTGAACATCAAGCAGGAGAGGACTCTTTAAAGTAGAGACACTACATACTGATATACACCTGAACATCAGCAGGAGAGGACTCTTTAAAGTAGAGACACTACATACTGATATACACCTGAACATCAGCAGGAGAGGACTCTTTAAAGTAGAGACACTACAGACTGATATACACCTGAACATCAAGCAGGAGAGGACTCTTTAAAGTAGAGACACTACATACTGATATACACCTGAACATCAGCAGGAGAGGACTCTTTAAAGTAGAGACACTACATACTGATATACACCTGAACATCAGCAGGAGAGGACTCTTTAAAGTAGAGACACTACATACTGATATACACCTGAACATCAGCAGGAGAGGACTCTTTAAAGTAGAGACACTACATACTGATATACACCTGAACATCAAGCAGGAGAGGACTCTTTAAAGTAGAGACACTACATACTGATATACACCTGAACATCAGCAGGAGAGGACTCTTTAAAGTAGAGTCACTTCATACTGATATACACCTGAACATCAGCAGGAGAGGACTCTTTAAAGTAGAGACACTACATACTGATATACACCTGAACATCAGCAGGAGAGGACTCTTTAAAGTAGAGACACTACATACTGATATACACCTGAACATCAGCAGGAGAGGACTCTTTAAAGTAGAGACACTACATACTGATATACACCTGAACATCAGCAGGAGAGGACTCTTTAAAGTAGAGACACTACATACTGATATACACCTGAACATCAGCAGGAGAGGACTCTTTAAAGTAGAGACACAACATACTGATATACACCTGAACATCAGCAGGAGAGGACTCTTTAAAGTAGAGACACTACATACTGATATACACCTGAACATCAGCAGGAGAGGACTCTTTAAAGTAGAGACACTACATACTGATATACACCTGAACATCAGCAGGAGAGGACTCTTTAAAGTAGAGACACTACATACTGATATACACCTGAACATCAGCAGGAGAGGACTCTTTAAAGTAGAGACACTACATACTGATATACACCTGAACATCAGCAGGAGAGGACTCTTTAAAGTAGAGACACTACATACTGATATACACCTGAACATCAGCAGGAGAGGACTCTTTAAAGTAGAGACACTACATACTGATATACACCTGAACATCAGCAGGAGAGGACTCTTTAAAGTAGAGACACTACATACTGATATACACCTGAACATCAGCAGGATAGGACTCTTTAAAGTAGAGACACTACATACTGATATACACCTGAACATCAGCAGGAGAGGACTCTTTAAAGTAGAGACACTACATACTGATATGAACCTGAAAATGAGCAGAATGTGTCCCTTTTAACCGATATTTTAGAAATTATATTGATATTTCCCGATGAAATGATCATACTCAAATACATTGGTATATGGACATGAATTGCTGCTTAACACATAAAGTCACACAATCAGGAATATCTTGCTTTTAAAATCACAGCTTCAGCCAGCGTGAGAAACTGAGGTTTTTAGTTTATTTTAAGGCTGCAAAAAAAATTTCACTTTAATTTCACTTTTTGATAATTTTGTCCATTAAAAGTCAAAAACTATAGCGTAAAATGTCATACAGAACGTTTCCAAAGTCCAATCTGACATCTTGACAGTAGTTGATTTATCTAAAACTAGTTTTATTATTGAAATAAAGAAGCTAACCCTTACACTTACACTTACAGCTGGAACTGTTTGGCGTCTCTGCCAGATAAATAACTTCAATGAAAAAGCAATTATCTGAACTAATGCTGATTAATTTCTGTTGTTCGACTAATAAATAAATCAACAGACTGCTTCAACTCTAACTGATTGTATTAAAGCTGCAGCCAATCATCATTTCCATTACCAACTAATCACATCATTAATCATTTTGTTTATAAAATGTTGTGAAGACTGAAAGAGTGCCACGTTTGTTTTTGTCCAAAACACAAAAATATGAACACAAACAAAACCATGACATCCTGATAGTTTGAAAACCAGTAGGTTATCAATTACTAAAATGATTTCTGAAGGATTGATGAGCTAATGGTTTCAGTTGTATTTGATTACATGGCTTATTAATGACCCTGGCTCTTCAGCAGGATAGGGTTTCTCCCTCACATACTTGTGTCTGCAGCTGAAACACAGCCAGTGTCCTTCATTAAGTCCTTGATTGATCTGCTGCTGATACGCAGGGCTTCCTGTCTCTCCTCACCATCAGTTAAAATCAGACCTTCCCCGCCTGCAGGGTTCTTCCCAGTGTGCACATCTATCACGTTTCCATTATAGTCTCCACTGCAACCGGCTCATAAACCAAAACTCTGCTCCACCACAGAGACAGCAGCAAGAAGGAGGGAGGATTAGGACTAGATCACTTCAGCGTCCGCTTCCACATGGGTTTAAACAGTTCAAGGCGAATGTTGTCCTCATTTGTGTTCAGTTTAAAGGTCACCTATTATACAAAATACACTTTTTCATGTCCTTTATACATCAACATGTGTCCCCTCTTCTTCATGTCTCTTCTACATCAACATGTGTCCCCTCTTCTTCATGTCTCTTCTACATCAACATGTGTCCCCTCTTCCTCATGTCTCTTCTACATCAACATGTGTCCCCTCTTCTCCATGTCTCTTCTACATCAACATGTGTCCCCTCTTCTTCATGT